TAAAATTGCTGGTCTTTAAGTTTGGATGTCTTTTTATATATTTAGCTATGTTATTATTATAATTGAAGATATAAGATTTGGCATATTTTAGTTCTTGGATGTCATATTTATTTAAACATTTATATAAATAAATATATGTGAATATAGCGTCATTTCTAAATCATACAACTGTAAATTTAAGAAATTTAAAAACTGAACCAACAGTCCAAACATCACAGCTACAGAAACAGGCTACACACGGAGGAAAAGCAATGCTGCAAGTTTCCGTCAGTGACAATTGTGCTTTTCTTTTAATGTTTTGTGATGCTTCACAATCATTAATCGATGGACACATTCAGTGCTCTGACTGAAAACATGTTGACATCAAGTAGGATGTAGGCTTTCTCAATAAATATCTTTATTTACAGATGCTAAATAAATAACCTTATATATTATTATTGTTATTGCACAAAATGAGACTAATAGCCAACAATCTAGCATTAAGTATTACAATTAGGATTTAAATTTGTTTATACTATAGTTATCCTGTTAATTAAGGATAATTTTGTCCCTGCATTTGACCCATCCCTATATATAGGGATGTCTTTGACAGGTGACACATGACACGTCAAAGGCCAAGGCTCAAACAGCCAACCTTGTGCTTATCAGCCAACCCTCTTAACCCAGTGTGCCACGGTCGCCCACCTTTTCCACTAAAGAAAATCTAAGAGCCAATCAGCTCTTTGATCCGAAGACAGCAAGAAGTTTCCCATCATGCCCTGGGGGTCACGCAGTCAGTGGAGAGCAACTGCAGCGCCTGGCTCTAAAATCTGCGGCCACCCCGCTCTCGTGAGGTTATCGTTGCCCACGTGATCATGACGTCAGCGCAAGTCCCATCATGCCCTGGGGTCATGCAGTCAGTGGAGAGCAATTCTGCATAGCCTGGCTCTAAAATCTGCGGCCGCCTCGCTCACGTGAGATCATCGTTACGCACGTTTTCATGACGTCGGAGCAAGTCAGACGCAAATCTACCCAGCATGCAGTGTGCGCCGATCGCCGGTGATCGATTCTGCGCACGCCTGGCTTAAGTCGAACGAGCCTAATGTCTGGCCGAGTCCTTCCCGAGAGCCGTCGCCGCCGTAGCTTACGTCAGAGCGTAAAGTAACCCACGGGGGGCTCCGGCCCATAGGCCAGAGCGGAAGCCTCCGCAGGCTGCATTAACGCACATGCTTGCAGCTGGACACTGCTGGAGAGACGGTGTGTCATGCACAGCGGACTCAAAATGCAGCTGTTTAGGAGGACGAGGGCCCAGGAAACGTGACTTTGAGGAACGTCAACATTTGGCCACACAGGGAGATGAGGAGAGGAGACACTGAGCGCAGACAGAGGCGTGTGTGTGTGTGAGCACCGTCCAATCGAGGCATAAAAAACAGCACACATGGGCTCATCATGACACATTTTGTTAGAAAAAACGCGTGGAGGAAGCCTCCGAGTGTGTGGTAGAGGAAATGCTTTAACCTTCTCCACTCCGGCGAGGACGGCGGCGTCCGCGATCCCCTCCCCTTCCGTTCGTACGGCCTGCTTCCGCAAAATACGTCACAAAACATGGCCGTGTTTGGTATCCCAGCATGCCCCAAATCCTCATCTTTGCAAAGAAAACTTCTATTTTCTTTCATTTCTTATGGATTTTGTCACAAACGGAGCCCAAACACACACTGTCTAAAGTCGCCATAACCGCTGCAAATCGGCTCTTGCAGCATTTAGACGGAAAAAGACACATTACAGACCCGACAATGTGCTAGCGGATGTTACCATGGAACTAGTGCCTTCAGAAAATGCTAGTACTTATAGTGCAAACCTTGACTGTTTCTTACGTAAGCCGTAAACCAACGTATAACCTTTGTGTAAATGTGCTACCGGCATACTCGATCGTACGCTCTGTCGCAGCCATTACACACAGCAAGTCCGCTACTCACACACCACGTCTTCGACCATATATACAAAGTTTTTGCAATTTGCAAAGGCTAAAAATAAAAGGAAAATAATATAATATCAAAATATAAAGGGAGAAACACCTTTAGTGTGTCAGAATATCATTTGGTTACCATGTGTCCATTTGGGTATCCAAATATCCTTTTAGAGCTCCGCCTGGATCTCTTCATGGAAGAAACACTGTGGAATGGTCATACTTTGTCCAATCTTCTTCAAATTTGAGGCAGTTGTTCACTGATACTGTAGTTACAGCCCTATACTGTCCTTTACCTGTACAGATACATCCACAGGCAGTTATTTATACTGAAAGATACTTTTTATTTTAGGCAGACAAAAATCTTCAATTTTTACTGATTTCAAAGGACCACTGCTCTGTTTCTGTATGACCTACAGGTCTCAGACACTTCCACAAGGAACCTTAGGGGGTTTTCTTTCTAGAAAGACCTCATTGATGCATATAGTCAGAGTGGTTCAGAAGCTACAGCCATTTTAATTTGGGTATGTCATTTTCGGCGGTTTTGCTCCAAAATAGGGGTCGGGTGGAGGAGGTTTGACACACGTCCGTGCTGACTTCGCGGGTCAAGGCGGACCCGCTCACTCTGCAGGTCGAATATTTGCTGTTGATAGCTGCCGAAACTCTGGAGCCCAATACATGATATTTGGGATGGACGGGCCAAGCAACCAGATGCAACCCAAGTGTCTCGGCTGACAAAAAAACTCTGCCTCTCAAGCTGAAACCTGGAGAACAAAGAGTTTTGCTGGACAAGTTCCCTAATGCCTCAATTCACTCAAAATGCAAGGGTAGTGTGCAGAACTCACTGGCTGCATCCCATAGCGTTGCGTCATTTGATGCTGTAGAACGCAGCACGTTTTATAAACTCAACATCATTAGGTTTTGTTTGTGGTCGTGGTGGCATCTGGTTGGAGGGAGATTTTCAAGGTAGCGGAAAGTTTCCTACTTGTCGGTTGTATTGTGTGTCATTTCCAGTTCATGTCACAGTATAATCCGTGTGTTTTCTGTTTACTAAGTAGAAATGTGGGAAGATAGCGTGTACTACTCCCCCAACATTTTAGTGGTTTCGTCTCCAATCTAATCATGAGCACACAGCTGATAGGTGTTTGCTTTGTTTACATGACGTAACGTCACGCTTGCTGTTAGGACACCGTCCAGCTCTCTGTGGCCACGTTTTCTGCCATCATTACTGTTGTTGTTGAATTATTCCCCGTTCAACTTCACCCAACGTTACATTTTATTTTCAGTTGATGAAGGTGATATGTGACTCCCGTCATGCGGTGCATACGAGGCAGACGGCTGCGGTAGTGCTGCTTTTTTCTTTTTCTTTCCACAATCCATTATACATTTTAGTATTTGAATGTACAGCCCTATCAGCTGACATTTGGGGCAGTTAAGACAAATAAATCAGTGTGAGATTCCTTTACTTTTCCTACAGTGTGGTCGTGGTTTGTGAGTTCATCGTGACCTTGCTGTACTTGAGGGTATGTTTATGTATAAACTGACAGTGTGAAGTTCCTACATGCTGCTCCTACAGCAGGCCAGTAGGAGTCTTGTTGTATACATTTTCTTGTATATCACAACCTTAGTATGAAGTATGACTTCAATATTCCTATCGGGACTTAAGATTCTTATTTATCATCATATAAGGTGTCGACTCTGGTTAGGCGCTTTTAGATGGAGACACAGAATGGCAGAAATGTTTTTGACAGCCTTTCTCTCAGTCTCCTCATCCCTTTGTAGTAAATGCATTTTTATGAATCATACTGGACACCTTTGGGTATTGCACAGGAAGGTGTGTGGCAGACTTGTCAGTTTTTAGAAGAAAGGCTTTTTGCATTTCTTCTCTGTTTTCTATTTGTTGTGTCCGAGTATGTGGAACTGCTGCCTATCAAACCTTCTGAACCCTCGGGTTCTGAGGAGGTCTTTTCTTGAAGCCGGTTTGAATTCCGCACGCTTCTATAAAATAATCCTCTTGAAAGAGAAGTGAGATCTGTTCGTAGGCGTCTAGGTGAGGTTCGTTGGTGTATAAAGCTTTTTTTCCTCACGTGACTGATCACACCACGCTGAAGGAAGAAAAGTCTGGTTAAATGGCTTCAAACACGTGATAAAAGAAATCTCTGGCTAATTTTGGGCTCCGAACCCTGAGATTAAGAAACACACCACCTCTCAGATACTGATTTATACCCGTCATTCTTTTGTTGCCAGTTGGTACACACTTCCTCTTCCTGTGTCTTTCTTCATTGTGTCTGTTGCTTACTTCCTCTTTTTTGTTTTAGTTTTTTTAAAGTTGGCTTCTCTTCCTTAGTCTCTCTCTCTCTATCTCTCTCTCACATTTTCTGTCTCACCCCATTCAATATGTCACTTATTGTTTGTTTCTGTCTTTCTGTCCACCTTTAGTGTAGTGATGTGTGTGTGTGTGTGTGTGTGTTTTGTCCGTGGTTGCTATTCTCCGAGGTGTGTATGTCTTTATCATCATCTTGCACAACGAGTGACTGGTGGTCACTCTTTTTAGCTGTTACTGTTGATGTTTGATGTTTCAATTTGATAAAAAAAGTCACAGAAAAATAGCATTTCCATCTTTCGCTCTCTCTCTCTCTCTCTCTCTCTCTCTCTGTCTCTCGCTCTATCTCTCTTTCTCTCTGTCTCTCTATCTCTCTCTCTGTCTCTCGCTCTATCTCTCTCTGTCTCTCTATCTCTCTCTCTCTGTCTCTCCCTCTCTCTCTCTCTCTCTCTCTCTCTGTGTCTATCTCTCTCTCTCTCTCTCTCTCTGTCTCTCTCTCTCTCTCTCTGTCTCTCCCTCTCTCTGTCTCTCTCTCTCATTCTCACACAGCAAGCGATGTGGCGCTCAGTCGTCTCTGTAACTGTCTCATTCCTCAGTCAAAAAGTTAAAATCTATTGATAAAAGATAGATGTAATCATTTCCAAAATTCACAACATGTTTTTTTTTCTAACAAAATACTCTGCTTCAATCTGTATTTTTTTTTTTGTTTAGCCATTCAAAAACAACATTTTCACAACGTTTGAAAAAGCAAAACAAAGGGAGGGCCGCGCCTGAATTAATGTTGCGCTCTATCAGCAATCCTACAGCACCATAAATTACATTTATACAACCACTGTTACACTAAATCCCCATTTTTTTAAAAGTGAAAATATCATAAAATATGATGACAGACATTCGAAGCTTCATTCAAAAACCTCAAACAAAGCTTCAAATGTAAAAAGTGACATTCGATACAGACCACAATGTTACCTACTCGTATGGAGCGCACAGCAACGTGTTGTCACTTATCTAAATAGTTGAAGCCAATTATTCATGGTGTTTATCTCTGTGTTGTTCCAGATGTTTTAGTCCAGGGATGCACAGATGCAACTTTTCCTCTCCCAATATGATACCTCAGCCCAGTTTACCTGCAATACTGAGTATTAATATTAGCCAAATCATTCGCTTTAATGTGTGAATGTAACACACGTCGTCTTCGATGGGAATAGCGGTGACCTACCAATACGTGCCAAGAGAAGACTTTCTGTATCTCTTTATTAAATCATCTTGTAAGGACAAGCTTCGGTGTGGCATATTCACATGCACTTGCACGTACATTTCCATATGTATGTGTGTGTGTGCGTGTGTCTGTGTATTTATAAAGGAGAGGTCCGAGGCAGAAGGGGGGATGACATGCATGTGTCCGGCCTGCTAAGATCGCTGACGACTCACACACTAACCGACAGACCGCCCTCGCGACATGACGGACGTACTGGTAAACCAACTGCATCTCTTCCTCCCTCTGTCTACCAGATTCCTTTTCTTGCTTTTCCTCTCTTTGTTCATCTCTTTGTGTCTCAATAAAACATCTGTCTGCTAGCAAAGACACAGGCCAATGGCAATAATAGCAATAATAGACTTCTCCTCTAGAGTTGTTCCTGTAGCGATACTGATACAGCCTTCTGCTCACAGGAACAAAGAACAACAACACATATCACTCGCTACCCGATCTGTATGTACTGCTTAGTTGGTATTGCTCATGTGCAAACTAGTACAACACACCTGTGGTGTAACACTCTCGTGGTGTAACACTCTCGTGCAACCTATTTTTCCAGATACTTTATTGATACATTGCGAACAAGAAATCGGTGTTGAGAAGCTTACATTATTATGATACGAAAGGCAGTTTAATCAGGAGGTTCTGACTCCTGAAGACAAGGGACAAGTGTCACTATTACACAAGGTTAAACCATGACGAGCTCGAAATCCATAAAACAAGCCTGAAAAATAACGAAATCTGAAACAGTTATGAGATTATGAGATTTCAGTGTTTTCTCTCCCCTTGTCTCCTCGTTATCTTTCTCTTAAATTTAATTGTCATTTCATTTCCCCTTGTTGCTTCCAATGTTGACGATATACAACTGCTGTCAGCTTGGCTCCCTCATATCTGCTTGTCGTTTCTCTGTCCCCTCTCTTTGTCCCCCTTCACCTTCTATCTTTTCCTCTCACTTTTTCTCTCACTCTCTCCCTAACTTTTTTCTTATCTCACTCCCTCCCATTCCTCCCATTCCCTCCACTCTTTTGTTTTCTTTTATTATCTCTGCCTCTCACCCACTTTCCCTCTTCATATCCCCCCTCTCTTTCTCCAATTCTTCCTCCCCTTAGGGTTACTAACAACCTAACAAGACAGGGGTGTCTACTTTTGGCCATGCAATGTACACCTTCATTTAATCATGGGGGAAAGCAGGACAACAGCAAAGCTTTTCTGAGCAGTCCTGCAAACCGCTGGCCTCTTTTCTTATCTCTAGTCTCCTTCCTTTTAAAGAATAAGGGATAGAGACACAGCAGAGGTGAGACATTCCTGCATTGATACCTGGGGCATTTATGTAGCTTAAGGGATACATAGTCAGATTTGTAAAGTTTGGTTGTTCTTGTGAAAGAAAAATGTTGACAAGTCCAGACTGGACTCCAGGGGTGTCCAAGTTTGGAGGGAGAAGGAATGTAAATGTTGGGTTTTAGCAGCATTTCTTCCCTTAAAGCCATCTTGGCATGAATGGGCCCATGCAGTCATGACGGGTTGGGTTGTTGTGCGTGGGTGTGCATGTGTAGACACCAGGTCTGATTCATCAAGTTTCAGAAAGAAACCAAGAAGCGCTGTGTGTCACAATACCTCTGACTCTGTTTCCTGCCTCTCTCTCTTTCTCTCGCTCTCTTTTCCTGTTGCATTGGACTGGCTTTCGTCTCTCTTCCTCCTTCGCTGGAGTGAATGCTTGTTGATTGATGGAAGAGTGCGAGAAAATCAAAAGAAGAAGCCGTTAGTTATTTCATTCAGTCGTCCATCCTCGATCCGCCATTGAATCGACTCGTCCCTGGTGAGCTTTGTCTGTGTGCTGCCACTTTAACGTGCCGGGTTATTGAGCAGGGTTTGGTTATTTTGTACACTCTTGAAAGTCGTGACTTCGTAGCTCAACAGATGGAGCAAGGCAGTACCGGCATTCGTGGTTTGATTCCCTCTCTGGCTGCCCATGCAGTTGATAAGAGTGTCTACCAAGGTGAAAGCTGCTTCATTGCTCAAATGTATGCGATTCAACGACGCCTCTGTGGGTTATTGAGAACATTCTCTGTTGTCTCTTTGATGAAACTCTTTCAACACCCCACCCCGTTAGATACACTTGAAAATGCATCGTCATCAAGCTTTAAACCAGACTGTTTGTCTCAGTTCCTGAAAAGTGGGCATCTTGGGGATAAATGCAGCTTTGCAGTTTTTTGGCTGATAAACGACAAATAACCTGCTTATTTTCCAAATCAGAAAGTTTCAGATGGATTTCACACCTTTCAGGTCGTTGGCTTTCTTTAGTTCATTGTTTACCGTTCATCTTGATGCCTTGGCAACTGCTGTATACACATTTCAAATGCTTTACACTTACAATACAACTAGGAAATAATACAGTAACAATTTCACCATTCAGTTAAACGCACTCTAATCATTTTTATAATTGTTAATTACAGCATGCAATGAAACATGCGGATGCCAGCAGGGAGCTTTGGATGCTCCAACATCTGAGATTGAAGAGTCGGATTTGGCAGCTTTGCAAGAAATGACCAAAGTCACATGATTGTTTGAATGTTTAGTTTTACTTATTGTAAAGCTGCAGCTAACAATTACTTTCATCACTTGTTAATCTGATGATTTATTTTCTCCATTAATGGAAGACGTTTCTTGCTCCAAAACAAATCACCACAATGTTTTAAAACCCAAGGTGTTTGCATTACATTGTGTGCACAACCAACAGGCTAAAACACAAAGGTAGTGCGTGAAATATCTCGGAAAACAAATCCGCAAAGTACTCTAACTATTAATGTTGTCAAATAAATGCAGTGAAGTTAAAAGTACACTATTTCCCAATGAGGTGTAGTGGGCTAGATGTAAATAGTTTCATATATTTACATGGAAGTACTCAAGTTAAGTACAAATACCTCAAAATTGTACGTAAAAACGGTACTAAAGTAGCCTAGTTGTACTTAGTTACATTCCACCACTGCTAGAAAAAAGAGCACAAAGTCGTATACAAGAGCACCTAGTTCTTCATAGCTCTTACCTCTTGTTTATGCTCTCAAAGTGCTCCATTGATGCAACATTAAAATGTACTGAATTTTCTTATGGGGGAGCATGCACCCGGACCCCTTAGAGTGTCCAAGGTCCACCCACCATAGTCCAACAAAGTCCTGTGCGAAACAATGAAGATTATAAGTCCTGAAGTAAAATTTAACCGATGGAAAGTGTTGACCTGTAATGTAAAGTTAGGGCAATTTGTAGTTGTATGTAGTATGTATTGTAGTCAAGATGCTGTTGGTGTTGGCATAGAGCATATTGAAGTGCTGCAAGTGGATAATGAATGTGTTGGAGGAATTGTAGAGGAATGATCTAAACACTGCTATTGTTTAAACCTTCAGCTGGTCCAGAGGTACAAACAGAGAATGAACATGTAGAGCTTCAGTGGCTCCAGAAAATATGGCTGTTGAGTTTAACATTCTTGTCATCCGCTGCAGGGATCAAACCTTTGAGTTGACAAAGAAAAGATGTTGCTTTTAAAGGATGAGTTCACCCAAATGACAAAAGAGCTGTAGAGTTGTTGTCTCTGAGATGTGTGCTTGTGACAATGAGGAACTGAAAAAAGGGATTTGACCATTTTGGTCACATTAAGTGTCTTTTGTATGTTTCTTTTTGCTCATTTTGGACATTGATTGGGTTTAAAGTGTTTTTAATGGGATGTAAACATTCTCTTGTTTGGTTAAAGGAGAACCTTTAGAAATAGTCGCGTAGCTCGTATGATTGAGGTGACGTGTGTGTGTGTGTGGTTGTGTGGTTGTGGTGTGATTATAAGTAGACACGTGTATGTTGCGAATGTGTGTGGATCACAGTATGTTTGTGTATTGTATCTTGGAATGCACATGTGAGCAGTTGTAGTGTGTGTGTGTGTGTGTGTTTAACCAGGCTTGTCCATATAAGGTAAGGAGAGGAGATGCATTTTGGAGCTTGTCGGCGCAGCCCTCTGGTAAAAAACACCATATATCTGTCGCCACGGAGTGCTGTTAGGCTGGATTTATAGACCCACTTACTGTGTGTGTGTGTGTGTGTATTTGTTGTTAAGTAAGAGGGAGTAGTGTGAAAGCGAACGTGTGTGGGATTTTCAAAGAAAGTAGATAAAGAGAGACAGATCAAGAGCAAGAGGAGAGGAGCACACTGTACAAAGCGTGCATGTGTGTGTGTGTGTGTGTGTGTGTGTGTGTGTGTGTGTGTGTGTGTTAAACAGTGCATTAGCGAAGCTTTAGCAGTGTTAAACATGTCAGGGCAGGAGCTTGGCAAAGCTCCTCTCCTCCATAAAACATTTTCCTGTCTTCCTGCACCAGATCTGGGGTTCTAAGACACCAAGAACTTGAGGAACACCAGAGAAAAATCCTTGCTGGGATTTGGTATCAAAAACTGCTCAGAAAGGCCTTGTTTGTCATACATCCTGTGAATGCCCTCGGCCTCTAGTCTGTGGTTGTCAGGTTTCATGAGGCTGTGATTATCCTAGAGGTCACAACCGGTCATTTCAGGTGAGGTCATTCCAGTGCTGAAAATAAGATGTTGGCGAGGCAAAGGTGAGAGACTTCCATACAGCATAGTAGGTCTGAGTGTCAGCAGAGTGAAGCGACATAAGTGTGCTGTGGATATGTTGTGTTGTGGATTGAAATCACAACTGAAACAGGTGATTAAGTGCAACATGTTTGATTGTTGCAGTTGTTTGTTCAGCAAAAATGTCAAACATTGATGTGAACATTTTTTTCTTTTGGGTTAGACTGTAGACTTTTGGGCTGTGGCTTGTTTTAGTTTCACCTTCAATCTTATGAGATCTAATCTAAATTAATGAGTTCATGCCAGATTTGAAGGCTCCTCTGGTGAGGATTCCTCGGTTTCTCCTCACCAGATGACTTCTATAGCGTTGTGACTTCACTAGAATAATTCCAAGAATATATAAGATATAAAACATGAGAGAACATGACAGGTAGTTTGTGAAAAATGTGCCTCTTACTTCCAGCTGTGAGGTAATAACGCCTAAAGGTGTAAAGGGGTGCGATATACAGTATAGTGTTGTATGTTGCCTGTTCAAATTCCACAAAAGCAGTGTTGCATAAGTCAAGAAAAATGATTAGCCAGTGTGAACTAAAGAAAAGACCTTCACCCATTATTCAGTGTGAAGTAGGAGGGGCTTGAGATACCGTGTTTTTGACTGTTATATGTCCTGACTGCTCTTGGTGACCGTGGCTCACTGGCTTAAGAGGGTTGTCTTAAAGCTTATGTTTGCAGCGTCCATTTAAAAAAACAACATTCAAACCTCCGAGTTGATATCACGGTATTTGACGTTCTGCACAGATAACATAGTTGGACGCATCTAGCGACGTAATTTCTCGCTGGTGTAAAATTATAATTGTAATTGTTATGAAGTGGAGGGACTTCTGCATGAAAGGAATATCATATTTTATTAGCCTCAGTAGTGGATATAAAACTAAAAGAGACCCATGGGATGCTATTAATCGTTAAGTGTTGAAGTGATAGTGCAGACAACAATGCTTTGTAAAATACTTGAATCACATTGTTTTCCAAGACATTTATTACATCAGTATATCGTATGTTTTCATTCTCAAACATAGCTTAACCATGTCATGTGATATGTCACTTCAGTACACAGGAACAAGACCTGCTGGGCCCACTACAGAAACTTCCAGATGAACATATAACATCCAGGGATTGTCGTTATAGACACTAACTAACACAGACCATCCCGGTAACCACACTGACCAAACAGGGTCCAGGACAGTAGACGTGCACGTGTGTGTGCTCATGATCAGGATGGTACCACAACCGTCTCACTTTGAGCAAAGTAAACGCTAATAGCAGCATCGCTCGTTGCAGAGCAGCATTCAACAGGCAGACACAGAATAGCAGACAACACAAATATGCAGAATAAAAACAAACCCAGCTTACAGTTTCATTTGACTCTCTTCATTTTGTTTCAGAGAATGTAAAAACAATGTGGTGGGTCCCCCTCCCTTCCTCACCAGTGCGTCCTGTGTCCTCAATGACACAGTACGGTGTGAACTCTGCACTCAGTATTCAGCAAAAAATATGCTACAGTTAACAAAACTTTTTTTAGCATTCTATAATGTAAAATATTAAACCTCAAATACACACATGCACAGACAAGCGAACAGCAGTAAACAAAACAAAAAAAAAACAGCAGTTGATGCACAGGTCACCTGCGGGTTGCGCATGAGTCTAAAACGTAGATGCCTTTCCTTCCATTGCCTGTAGATGGCACCTATTGCTATATTGTGACGCTTTGTCTGTGACAATATCTACATCTGCAAGTCAAACTGCTGCTGCTCTCTGTTAATCTAAAAAGCTCACATTGTGTCCTGAGTGTCCATTCAATTGTCACCAACCAGTTGATTAGATGTTCAAGTTTGTTTATAAGGGAAAATTTTGGTCACAGTGACCCCCACCAATATGTAACACAAACGCGCGCACACACACACACACACACACACACACACAGGGCTGTTGGCGATCAGGTGGTGAGATTACGGAGCAGTAATCTCTCAGATTAATACTTAAAATGAATGTTTAATTGCTTAAACCCTGCTGGCAGGTGCAGATGCGTGTGTGTGTGTGTGTGTGTGCATTTGAGTGTGTGTGTGTGTTGGTAGACCAACGTGCATTACACAAATGCCCGGCAGTGCCTCTCTGAATTGAAATGTCATCTTGCTTTATTGGCATGGTATGCGAGTCCATCTGTGCTGCCAAAGCACGCAGAGATGGCAAGCAAATGTGTACAGTACAAAAGAGGTGATCGCAGCGCAGTTGACCTATAGATGTATGATGGACATGCACAGCACTGCATGCATTTAGCCTTAAATATACAGAAATATGCTTGTTTTGTTTTCTCATTAATACAATAAAGATTGTGTCAGTGAGGACATCAAACACGACAGGCATCAAGCTATTAAGAACTTCGGGTGTTGTTTACTGAACGGCGACACATTGTTTCAATTTTACAACTGATCAAACAGTCCAGATATAGTAAACGAAAGTCATGTTGTGGAAATGTTGTTTAATTATCGGTCATACAGTTGGCTCCTTGTACGACTCAACAGTCGCCTTTGCTTTCTTACGCTGAGACAAGAATGTGTGAATGAAGCAAAGTTGAAGCTATAGCTAGTTAGCCAGCTTGCAAATGACACCATGTGCTTCATGGGACACTGGCTTCAAGGGCTGCACAATTATTGCCAATATGATAATCGCCATTACTTTGATCGATATGATTATTTATCACGATTATTCCTTGAAGTTAGTGACAAAATATTTGTATGCGTTTTCACGTGCAAATTGATTGTAATTTTAAGTACCGTTGTGCTACATTCCTCCGAATTAACAAATCTCTTCATCAAAATAAGACTTACAGTAAGGTCTTCTTCGTCTGAATTCAGTGCATTTTGACCGTCCCTGATATACAAGATGGGGTAAAATGTGTAATACAGTGTACTGCTGTTCTACTCTCAACTGCAGCTGCAACATTCTGCAACATTTTGAGAATGACAGCTCCCCAAAAAGTGAAGCCACAACATCTTAATCGCTGTGTAGCAGGACGGTGCAGGAAATCAGCATGTGTGCTCTGTCCACTTTACCAGGATAAGTACAAGGTCAAAAAATATTCCGAGATGGCGTTAAGATGAGAGGGAAGTGAACTAATTTGTGTGTGTGTGTGGTTTCTCAGCATTCTAAAGTCATCTAGTTTAATCAGATTAACACTCCGACCCAAATCCTGTTAAACACACACACACACTCACACTGAAATTAATGTGGAGCAAGAGGAAGTGAGACATCTGCTCAAAAGGAACTGTACACATTAGCATCTTTCTTTCTTCATGTCCTTTTCTCAGCAGTCTATTTTCTTCCTTTCTTTTCTTGCTTTCTTCTTTCTAAACTAAGCTGGTGCTGGAATTCAGTCATCACCTCCAGAAAACATGAATTTACACACACACACACACACACACACACACACACACACACACACAAAGGGAGAAACGCGATAGCTCTGTGTTATAAAAGAGAGGAAGGGGAGTGTCTTTCCTGTCTTTGCTCTGAGAGTGCAGGTAAACTGTGACACCAGCGCTAGTGTGTGAGTGTGTTTCTGAAGGTGTGTGATGTATTTTGTGTGTGTCTCAGCAGTGAGCATGCCCTGTTAGAGGCCCCACAGCTGGCTGAGTGAGACACTTTCATTGGTATAAATGGGCACCGTCTTGAAGAATAGTCTCCAGATCTGATTATACATCCACGGTTTCATCATGAAGGGTTTCTTCTGTCTTTTTTAACTGACTCAAAACAAGATAAATAATATATTCATTTGAATCACCGGGTCCTGATTGGTCCTCACTGATGTAATGTTTTTCCGTCTGTCGCTACTTTTTCATTGCTCCAGCCAGCAGTCTGTCCATCATCGACAACAGGCAGCACAACATGAAAATGTTGCGGGTTACTGCTTTCATTCACTAATCCACAGTATTACCGGCATCACCATTCTGCCACATTCACCCGCTCTGAGTGTTGGCATCAAGTGCACACACACACACACACACACACACACACACACACACACACACACACATACACACACAGATCTGCTGCCCACTTCTGTCCCTGTGCTGGCAGACAGACAGACACACACACACACACACACAGAGTCGACAGCTGGAGGTTAAAGTTAGCTGTAGTTTCACCATTTTTGAGAAATGGAAAAATAACAACAGCACCCAATCAGATGATGAAAGCATCTACATGGAATTATCTTCACACACACACACACACACACAGTTGGTGTGTATTTGTGTGTATTGGCTTGCTTTTCTTTTACGTCTGAATGCACCTTTTATGTTTGCGTATGGATGTCACTTATGTGCCTTTTCATTATGCATGTGTGTGTGAGCACATGGTGTCCACTGTGTGCTGGACAGTATGTACATGTTTGCCCATATGGCTGTGTTTCATAACTCCTTCTGGCCCATTCGTCCCAAGAAGTACAGTAACATTCTTTGAACTCCGTTTTCAAGACGATGGAGGGAGCTTTAATCAGAAGATGTATAAAAAAAGGAACTGTATTTAAACATGTTTGTCATAAATAAAGCGATTCAAGAAACTTGGTGTCCTTAGTCCAGAACCTAAAGTTGAGAAATCTGTGTTTGTGTTTGTGTGATCGTCTTAGTGTGTGTGTGTGTGTGTGTGTGTGTGTGTGTGTGTGTGTGTGTGTGATCACAGCTCAATCACATGATGCATCACATTGCACGGTCTGTCTCCATACCCGCTCTCTTTCACTTCCTCTATTCTACATGCCGTCTCTCTCTTCCTCCATACCCTCTCTAAATTTGTAAATCTCTTGTCTCTCTCTTTCTCTCTCCCTCATGTACTCTATAATCTTGCCATCTTTCGACATCTCACCCTTTTTTTATTTCTCTCTGTATCTCCCTCTGCCAACTTATTTATTCTTTCCCCCTTTTCTCGCCGTCTCACATCAGATAACCCTCGTCTTTTTTCTTCTTCAATCCCCGCCCTTCCCCATCTCACTCTCTGTTTGAAGAGAAAAAGAGTGTTTTGTTCATCTTAATCTAAAACAGCAGGTTTATGTGTTTTGTTTTTTTTAAAGCCTCAAAGCACGTTACACTGCAAAGCAGTGCTCATGCCTTCAAGTCACTGAAATGTGCTTCTTCATTTAACTGACAAAACTCTCTTTTTTCTCAAGTTCTCTCTCTTCCGCCCTAATTTACAATTTAATTATTACTACTATTAGCATGTCTGTTGCACAGAGACAGTAGTGTGGAAAAGACTGGAGTCTGGCAGAACAGAGACTAATGTAATCAAAGACGTCATAAAAATGTATTCTTTTATTATTCGACTGCAGATCCTTCACTGTGAACTCGTACTCATCAATCGTCTCTAAAGGCAGACATGCTATGTGTAAAACACTGACCGACACATGAACTGTGTAACCTTGCTATGATTACTGTAAACAAAGATCATTTTTAGACCATTTCCAGCTTCTGTCTAACATGAGTGGTGTTGTTAGAGCTCAACTTTCTCCATATTCAGACTCTCGTTGGAGATGTTGGAACATCAGAAACATGTTAAAAGTCCTTTTCTTTTCCAGAAGTTCTTTCAACCTTTCATGTCCACTGGATGTGGCTTTGTTGCATCCCGGTTGACCTGAAAATCATCTTCTGTCAGCAAAAGCTTGCTGGTCTGAGCTCCACAAATGCAATAATGCAGCAAGAGGCTGACTGAGATCTTTGGAGTGTCTTTAAATCCCCAAAATTAACTGAGCATTAATTGATTTATACTTAAAGTCCTTTTTTTCGAGTATTCCCACGTATTGGTACATCATACTTTTCAGTTTAAGATCCTACATAAAAATACATATGATGAAGGAATAGTTAGAAGAACCAAAACATTATGAAAATGAATTGGCGGTCCCTGTTGACAAAAGCGGTAGTGTTTCTGAGCACCACAGTCCCTTTAGAAAACCTAATTCTACAGCAGCAGTGGGACAGTCTACCCTGCACAGGTGCTTTTGCTGCAGTAATTAAAGGATAGTACTTATTCCACCACTATAAATGACAGTGAAGAAGAAATCACAACATGTTTCTCTCTCTCTCTCTGTCTGTGTCTCTACAGTACACAGGTCCAATCCCGGCCGAGCGAGGGGGCGAGCTGGCCATGGGGGGAGGTCGCAGCGAGACCTCGGCACTGAGCGGGACGGGAGGGGGGCGGGGCATGACCACTACGCAGAATTCCCAACGGCCCAACGCCTGCTGCTTCTGCTGGTGCTGCTGTTGCAGCTGCTCATGGTAGGAGACAGGAACACACACTGCATTTATACAGACAAATACACACACACACACACACCTGGCACACATGTGAAACCTCTTATGTAAGCAAATACACACTGGCGCAAGTACTGCTGTCCTGCAGGGCTGTATCCAATGCCTTTTTTTTTACTTTCCTTAATTGAGGCTTTTGAATGAAGCTTCAAATCACATCATCCCCTTAAAAATAAATTCTCAAACAATATCCTCAATTTGAATACTGGTAAATCATCAGATTAAGTGAGTTACTTAATCTTACCAGTGCCTAATTCCCTCAACCAATTTATGGTTGAGGGATTACCGCCACACAACTCTCAACACGGCGACGGCTGAGCCGGCGGTTATCAGCTAAAGGTGATAACAACACAAACAGTGTAATCAACAGCAGCAGAGCTAACAGTGGTAACTTGAGGGGGAATTGGAGAGTGGCTGCTACACATGACTAATCTGAATTATATCCAGTATAGCAAACATTATAGCATGTGCTCATATAATAAGACAGTTAGCTTGGATGTTGTGAGCATATTTAAGGCCGTTAAAGTCATGGACTTTGTTCTGCAGAACAAACTACAAGAGGTTGGGCAATCCGTGTCATGGTTTACCGACATCACACCAGAGTGTTCATTTATAGGCTCGTTTTAATCTGAGGAGACAGGAAGTAGCGTGGATCATTACAGTAGTGTGATTTTTGAGCTAAGCAGCCGTATGTATTACATTCTTCAGGTTCCTGAAGCTGTTACTAGAAAGCCCGGAGCACGACAAAAACATTTCAGCGGAACACAGACCGGTCTCATTCCTAGGTCGTGAAATACCGTCGCTTTGTCACAGCCCTCTGGATCTGATACCGACGCACAAGGCACACTTCAACGTCCGTGAGACGCACTGGTGATCGCACGTGTTTTTGTCTTGTTGCAGAGAGTGGAGTTCTGTTCCTTTTTTTTAAATTTAAAGGCAAAGTGGCACTGCATCACCCATACAGGCGCAACTAAACTCACTAACCAAACACCCGCCCCACACCGAGGTGAAAGACAATGACGTGGCAGAAATTGTTGGGCCGGCACCCCTTTTAAAACCACGACAGAATCGGCGTCAGTAAAACTTCAGCAGTGTGTGTGTCAGCTGTCTTCTTGTTCGAGTGTTACTGACATACAGTATGTTCTTTATGTATTCATGAAGTAACAACAATGAAATAAGGACCTAATAAAGTCAAGTACCAGTTTCTGGTAAAGGCAGACTTGTGTTCTTTGGTTCTACTTACAGCTGTAGACCATTGACCATCGTCTGCCTTGTCTCTCTACTGAACAGTGTGACACTTGTGACAATCTCTACCGGCATCACACACTGCAAACATAAGCAGCCCAAGCTGATCAATCACAGTTTTTGCGGTTTCCTACTTTCAGCCACCCAGTGTGGCTATATGCACACACACGCTAACACACACAGGAAGACATCGGACAGAAGTGTTCACCATTAAACACTCTGAGTCTCCAGACATTAGTCAGACAGTAGCTGTAGAGTGATTAGGTCTCTATAGTTCCCACAGGGTAACTCATTATTTATAGCTCTCTCTCTCTGTGTTACACACACACACACACACACACTGAAGGTGTTGACACCTGTAGCTCCTGCTTTACCCTGCTGTTAACATAGCTTTGGTTAGTGCCGTCATTCAATGGGGTAGTAACATCGTTGTAGGTGATCGTACACGTGTTCATAGTTCTGAGAGCAATTACTCTTCTGTCAGCTGTGCTTAAGTGTGTGTGTGTGTGTGTGTGTGTGTGTGTGTGTGTGTGTG